GCCTTTCAACCAGCACCACATGTGATTATCGGCCAGGCTGGCACAATTAACTAACTCAGGCATCCACTGGAAATTAACAGAAAAAGTAGCAGGGGAAACCCCGATGTCGAAGTGGGCGACGTATGGGGCTGCAGATGGAAACCAGTGGCTGCTCCTGGGGAGAAAGATGAGGCTTTCTTACTCCCAGCCCCAGAAACCCCATCCTATGGGGTCACTGCGAGTCAGTGTGGACTCACAGCCGTTGTGTGAGACTGGAAATAAGGTGTCCAGGTCGGTGCCCAAGAGAAAGGTGCTCAGCCACTACCTGCAAGGTTGGAGGCTTTGAGTCCAGCCACAGACAGCTGGGCAGAAAGGCCCGGTGACGACGTGCTTGCAGAATAACCAGCCGCGCCAAAGCATGTGGACCCAAAGCCCTGCTGGCGTAATAGTGACACTTGGGGCTGGCCACCGAAAAGTCAGCGGTTCACAGCCACCAGCCGCTCTGGGGGAGAAAGATGAGGCTCTCTCTATTCCCATAAAGAGCTAGCCTCGGAAACATACAAGGGTCGTTCTCCCCTGTCCCGCGGGTCACTGAGTTGGCATCTGCTCGGTGGCAGTGAGTTTATTGATTTTATGTACTCATTTGGGGTCTGATACCCGAGGGGAGAGTTGAGCCGGCAGCTCTGAGCCGAGGGCAGGGAAAGCTGTGTCAAAGAACACGCGTGCTTCAAGTGGGGACACACACAGCTCGGTCCTTCCTTCCACCCACTGGGTTTTGCCAGCCTGCCGGTTGTGAATTCTTGGCGGCTGCATCGCAGTCTGCTCTCGGGAAAAACACCCTCAGGAAAGAAGTTGGAGGGAGGTGCCCTCCCGCAGCATGCCGGGTGCTGGTGTGCCGGGGTCGAGGTCCAGCCCAGAGTGACGTGCTTTGGGCTCAGGCCGCATTTGGGAACTTCAGACGGCAAACTCAGGGCCATCTAGATGGCCCCTGGCCACCCTGTGGGTTTCCGAGACGGGAGCGCCTGATGGGAGGAGAGGCCTCTTCTTTCTCCCAGGGAGCAGCTGGTGGTTTTGAACTGCTGACCTTGGGGTTGGCAGCCCAACTTGTAACCACTATGCCATCAGGGCTGCTGACGGTCCCCCAGATTCCTCCTTGGGAGTAGACTTTTGGTGTGTGTGGTGGGGGTCGGGGTGGGGAGTCCTTGCCTCCTCTTGTCACAGTACTTTATATCTGTTGATCCCTTAGCGCCCCCCGGCCAGTCACCCTGCTCACCTTCTCTTTCAGACTCAAGAACAGACGGAGGTGCTGGAGAGCTTGAAGCAGGAACTGACCACGAACCAGCAGGAGCTTCAGCTTGTGCGAGGAACCCTGGCAACGTCTGCCCAGGTGAGTGAGCCTCTCCTCCCTTCCCACCCCGGCCCTTCCTCCCTAATGTCTGTGTTGCTAGAAGCTACGGCCCAGCCCCAAGCCGGCCCGGCCCTAGTGTCCGCTCAGCGAGTGAGCGAGAGAGCAGCTCCTGTTGCTTGTGACTTTGACTTTCGACCTCTGGCGAGGGCACCAATCCAGTCTCCCGCCGTCGTCGTCACCTCTGCCCCCTCCCTGTTCACCGGCCTGCCCCTTGCAGTCAGAAGCCAAGTGGGCCGCCCAGCTGGCCGAGCTGGAGAGGGAGCGGGATGGCCTGGTGCAGGCCGCGGCACGGCGGGACGTGGAGGTGGCCACTCTGCAGGAGCAGCTAGGCCGCACCCGGCAGGAACTGACCAACACACAGGTGAGTAGTGGGTCTCAGGGAGAGGCTGTGGAAGGGACCGGGGGGCTTTGGCCTGAGTGCAAAGGCCTCTGGGAAGCTGGCAGCGTTCCAACCTCCAGCCTGGTCTGAGTCATCGCAGCACAGGGCTCTCAGAGAGGCATGCCCTGGGCCTTCAAGTCCATGTCATCCCCCGGAAGACCACTCCACAGCCACTTTCCCGGTGTCATGGTAACAGGATCGGGCTGCGTCGTGAGCCACTGTGCTCCAATGCCAGGCATCCCGGACAGGTGCTGGCCGAGGCTCCGTGGGGGCCTGAGGCAGACTCTCATCTCCCTGGGCCATTTCTAGGAATCAGCCGAGCGACAGGCGAAGGGCCAGCGGAAAGTGCTTCTCAGGGAGTGCAGGCAGGCCGCGGAGCGGGCAGTGCAGGAGGCCCTGGGCCAGCTGGAAGAGCCCACACTGGCCAGCTGTGCTGGATCTGCAGGTACGCTTCCACCCCGGCTTCAGGGTTTTCTGAAGCCTCCCAGGGGTGCTGCATGTGCGTGCCACACTGGCCACACTGCGAACGGGCCCCCGCAGGAGCAGAGCCCTGAAGGCACAGGGGAGATGGGGCGGAGGGGCAGAGGCCCTGCCGCAGATACAGGGGCCCCCAGGCAGAGAGGATCTGGGCGGCCCCTGGCATAGAGAGGGGCAGATCTCACGGCGGCTCCTTTCTGTGACGCGGGAGGGAGGGACCGTGTGGCAAGCCAGGCCCCACTGGCAGAGGGGGCAGGAGGGGGGGAGCCACCGCAGCTGCGGGGCTTCATCACATGAAAAGGCCCCAGTTTACGAAGGTGCGGCAAGGCTGGGAGCCACCCCCCTCACCCAGAAGCAGGCGCACCCCCACCTCACTGAGGACACCCACGATACAGGGTCTGTGTTTCTGAGGGGAGGGAGGCGGCTCGAGCCGGGTTTGGGAGGCTTTTGCAGCAAGGAAGAAACTCGAAGTTAGAGTAAGAAGAAAGCTAGCGTTCACGGGAGGAAACCCACAGGGGCAGCTCTCCCCTGTCCTGGGGGTCACTGGGAGGGGTTACAGTCAAGGAAACCCACAGGGGCAGCTCTCCCCTGTCCTGGGGGTCACTGGGAGGGGTTACAGTCCAGGAAACCCACAGGGGCAGCTCTCCCCTGTCCTGGGGGTCATTGGGAGGGGTTACGGTCCAGAAAACCCACAGGGGCAGCTCTCCCCTGTCCTGGGGGTCACTGGGAGGGGTTACGGTCCAGGAAACCCACAGGGGCAGCTCTACCCTGTCCTGGGGGTCACTGGGAGGGGTTACAGTCAAGGAAACCCACAGGGGCAGCTCGATCCTGTCCTGGGGGTCACTGGGAGGGGTTACAGTCCAGGAAACCCACAGGGGCAGCTCTACCTGGTCCTGGGGGTCACTGGGAGGGGTTACAGTCCAGGAAACCCACAAGGGCAGCTCTATCCTGTCCTGGGGGTCACTGGGAGGGGTTACAGTTCTGGAAACCAACAAGGGCAGTTCTACCCTGTCCTATAGGGTCACCGTGAGGGGTCACAGTTCAGGATACCCACAGGGGCAGTTGTACCCTGTCCTGGGGGCCCCTGTGAGTCAGGATTCACCCGATGGCGGTGATAGCTTCTTAGAGTCAGACTCCCCCAGTGGCGCAGAAAGTTGGTTAAGCGCGTGGTCACTAAGAGGAAGTTTGCGGTTCAAGCTCACCCATGGATGCCACAGAAGAAAGGCCTGGAAGCTCACAGTCACGCCACCCCCGGGAGCTCTGCTCTACTCTGCTCTGAACCCCAGGGTCACCAAGGGTCAGGATTCACTTGGCAGTGATGGGTGTGGGCTCTGAGGGAGGGGCTCTGTGGGCACGTGATTCCGTAGCGGGGAAACGATGGAACAGCATGGTCCTGTTGGGGACACATACTGTGCCCCAGGCCCAGTGGTGTTCTGCCAAAGGCACCAGGAATTCAGCACAGTTCTGTTTGGGAGCGCTGTGGACCAGGCACGGTTCTGAGGACTCCAGGTACCATGGCCCAGGTGCTCCCGGCTGTGGTACCATGAGGTGGAAGCAGGCTGTTCCCTGCTGTTCAGGCGAAGAAGCAGGCAGCCTTGGAGTCCCACCCAGGCAGTGTGACCCAAGAGGCCATACAGCGAACACTTGCTCCTGGGCCCCAGGGCTCCGTGTGCAGAGGCACCTGGTAGGAGGTGCCGTCGAGAACAGCGCATGGCTGTGGATGAACAGCTGAGCGTTGGGGCCAGCTGAGTGGGACTTGCTAGAGAGCTTGGCTCAGATGTGCTGGCCGTGGCCAGAAGAGAGAAGTGGGGTCCCCACCTGGGGTGCAGCTGCCCTCTCTCTTGGCCAAGGGACCAGACAGGCAGAGGAGCTAAGCTCTGGGTGCCCCAGTAGGAGGTGGTCTCTCCTCCCTTCCCCATCTTCGGGCACCCCACATGAGCTGGCCATTAGGGGGCTTCCCTTGCAGGGACGAGGTCAGCACTGGGCTGAAATCCGTGTCCCCTCCCGTAGATCACCTCCTGTCCAGTATCCGCTCCGTGTCCAGCTGTCTGGAGCAGCTAGAGGAGAGCCGGAGCCGGTACCTGGCCTGCCCGAAAGGTAAGGTCATCGGGCACCGCTGGGCAGGGTCAGCGAGGCCGGAATGTGGACAAGAGCGATGGGCTCCCATGTGCCCGGCACAGCGTGTGCATACCTTTCAGGCGGGCAGGAGAGGACAGTCCCTCTGCCCGCACTGAGAGCTGTGCCATTGCACACACATACCCATCCCCGCCCCTCCCAGCAGAGCTCAGCAAACTGCTCCACTCGGTAACCCTCCTGGCCCACCTGACTGGAGACGCCATTCTCCAAGGTGGCGCCACCTGCCTTCGAGCCCCTCCAGAGCCGGCTGACTGTGAGTGCCTGGGGGACCCTTGGGGGGACCCGACTTCTGAGATTGGGAGGTGGTGGGGAGCCCCAGGCCTGAAAGTCTGTCGCCGTGCACGCCCCCAGCACTGAACGAGATCTGCAAGCAGTATGGCAGGGACACGCTGAACCTGCTGGCCTCCCTGGAGGAGGAGGAGCGCCTCCCGCAGGCCGACTGCACCGCCCTGTGGACCTGCCTCAGCAAGATGGCGGCCATCGGCCAGGTGAGGACGGAGGAGAGCCAGCGACTTGCTGGGGAGGTGGTGACATGGTCAGCCAGTCCCTCCTGCTCTGCTGAGGGGGTCCTAGAAAGCAAGGATGGAAGGGAGACGGTTCACTGAGAATCCACTTTGTGGTCAGGGTGCCATCCATCCTGACTCACAGCGCCCCCTGCTGTCTCTCGGTAGAGCATTTCCCAAGGGCGGCCTGGTGGTTATGACTTGGGCTGCCAACCGCAAGGTCAGCGGTTCAAAACCACCGGCTGCTCCTCAGGAGAAAGAGGAGGCTTTACTATTCCTCAGGTGGCATGTCGGCCCAGGGAGAGCAGAGAGTTTGTCAAGGGTCATGTCACGCTTGTTACAGGAGCTCTTACCCCGAGGCCTGGACATCAAGCAGGACGAGCTGGGGGACCTGGTGGACAAGGAGATGGCCGCTACTTCCGCTGCCATTGACACAGCTACGGCCCGGATCGAGGTACGGGCCTTCGCGCAGGGCCTCCTGCGCTGAGGCTGGGGCACCAATGCCCTGCCTTCAGCGCCCATTTGTTGTATCTTAGCCATTCGTTATGGCTCCAGGGGTCCCCGTAAAACCAGGCAGAACCCAAACTCTGAGGGGTAGAACCCATGAAGGCCCTCGCTTAACGGAAAGGGAGCCGCAGGAGATAACTCTGGTGTCTGCCATCCTGGGTCCACATTCCATACGGGTCACTTCCTCGTTGTACCACTTCCCGCCGGCTACATTCACTTTGCTGAGACTCGGGTGCTCTTTCTGTATGATGGTAATGACCTCCTGTAGATGCTGGGGGAGGTCAGTGAGCCAACAGACTCTCCCCTCGGGGCCCCACATGCACACACTCCACGGTACCCCTAATTAGTAGTAACAGCTGTCTCATGAAAAGCTGAGTGGGGCACTGTTTGAGCCCCGATGTGGAAGTCTCAAGCTCCCCCCATGCCTCACCACCTTGATCTGAATACCTGCCGCTCGGGCCTGGTCGTTTGAGTGCCACGGCTGTTGGCCTGGGGGCCCCAGCTTCCAGAATGGTGTGCGCAGCAGCCCCAGAACCCTTACTGTGGAGGACCTTCCTGATTGGAGAGGCCACCTGCTGTCGCCAAATCCCAGCAAGAGAGGCCAGAGGTCTGGACTCTTCTCACAGAGTGCTTGGACTGGGTGGGCCCCAGTCGTCTGGACGTTCCCGGCTACCATTGGACACGAGCCTCAGAGAGAGCATGCTGTGCCCAGGCCGCGAGTAGAAACCCTGCTTCTTCTCCACAGGAGATGCTCAGCAAATCCCGGGCTGGCGACACCGGCGTCAAACTAGAGGTGAATGAAAGGTCAGTCTGTGCCACCAAGGAGCAGCCCTGGAGGCCCGAGGGGCAGCGGTCTGTCTTGGGCTGCGTTGTATATCCATGCCCACGAGGGACCCAGATCAGAACACCAGGAGCCACAGGGCAGGGCTGAGATGCTGTGATCTCTGATAAGCTAGCGCCTTCCCATTGAGTCTGACCCGTAGGGACTCTCTAGGACAGAGGAGAGCTGCCCTTGTGGGTTTCCAAGACCTTAGCTGTACGGGAGTGGAAAGCCTCTTCTTTTCTGCCATGGGGAACAGCTGGTGGTTTTGAACCACCGACCTTGTGGTGAGCAGCTCAATGAGTAACCCAGTCCCACTAGGGGGCTCCCATCGGCGGTCCTTGCTCACCTTGTTAATGGCAGCGATAGCACTGCTCTCGCAGGAGCGGGGGGGACGAAAGCCTGGGGTTCCCCTTCCATGTTCCTTATTGGACTCACAGCCCAGTCTTCTCGTCCACCTGCCGTTCCTTCCGGGCGTCGCTCTCAGAGCATCCCAGCCAGTTCGGCTCCTTCCTGGCCCGTTCCCTGTAGGACAGGGTAGACTTGCCCCAGGGAGCTCCCGAGACCGGACTCTACTGGAGTCGAGAGCCCCGACTTTCCCCCACGGAGCAGCTCGCTGGTGATTTCGAATGGCTGACCTTGCAGATGGCAGCCCAACCACTGTGCCACCAGGGTTGTGTCTGAAGCCTGAACAAGAGAGAGCAGGCGTCTTCCTCACTCGTGCCCTCTGCGTCCCTGGTCTGTCTCCAGGATCCTTGGTTCCTGCACCGGCCTGATGCAAGCTATCCAGGTCCTGATCGCAGCCTCCAAGGACCTGCAGAGAGAGATTGTGGAAAGCGGCAGGGTGAGTGGCTTCCTCTCCCCGAGTGGCTGTAACTTGAGAACCACAGGCCGGGGTCCTTCAGAACAGCAGCGTCCCCTACACCATCTGGAGCCCAAAAGTCCAAAGCAGGGTCTTGACGGGGGTCGGTTCCTCCCTTGCCGGGAGCCCCAGGAGTCCTAGGGTCCCTTAGGGATCCTCACGTGGGTGGCCCCTCAGGCGTGCATGCTCTGGGTCTGGGTGGCCTTTGCCAGCTGCCCGAGTCAGCCCGGGTCCTGGCGACACCCTCCAAATAGAGGGGAATGGCCCAGGAGGGTTCTCAAGGCTTGGCCTGTCGGAAGCACATGGCCACACCCCTGTCCACAGAGGCTCCTCCGGGGAGGCTCAAGCCATCAGCCTCTTAGCGAGAGGAAACGCTTAACCCTGTGCACCACCCCGAGGCACCTCTCTTGTTGCCCCTGCCGCCCTTTCCGTAACAAGATGCGAGGAGGGGCTGCGCTACGTGGGCCTGGTTCGGGCTGGTGGAGTCCATGCCGTCAGACCGCGCAGTGGAAGGTGATGGCCTTCCATCAGATGAAATGTGATCCACGGCCCTCGGGATGACTATTCCAGTACATGCCCATGCACACACACATGCACACACCCCGCTCCCGACTCCCAACGACCCTGTAGGGCCCAGTAGAACTGCCCCTGTGAGTTTCCGAGATGGGAGCTCTCGACAGGAGTAGAAGGCCTCACCTTCCGCCCACAGAACGGGTGGTGCTTTTGAACGGCCAATCCCGTGATGTGCAGCCTAGCACGCTTAGCCCCGCTACCACCACCACCAGGGGCTCCTGCTTAGCCCTGCACAGCGGGGGTGTGAGCCTGCTGGCAGGTGAGACGTCACTCACGGAGTGGCAGCAGGTCCGG